ACCTACGTACTACGTACGTACGTACGTACGTACCGTACCGACGTACGACGGAACGGACGGAACGACGACGTACGTACGTACTACGTACTACTACTACTGTACTCTACTCTCTCTCTCTCTCTCTCTCTCTCTCTCTCTCTCTCTCTCTCTCTCTCTCTCTCTCATATGCTTTTGGATGTCATAAAATGTAAAACTGCAAATAAAGCAGCTTGTTATGCTTTTGATGCTGTAAAGTATGAAATTGCAAATATTGAAAAAAATAGGACCTTTTATAATTATTGGTTATCACGCATACCTCATCAAAATATTTTTTTTATCGCATGTTATGAGATTGTTGTCACATAAACTACACAAATGAATATTATTTACTAACTAAATTAAAATCAATAATAAATATTTATTTTTTATTTTTTTCCCATTTTTTATTTATTTTGTGGTAGCAAATTTTTTAATTTAAAGAAATTTCTGATTTTTAAATTTTATTAATTTAAACAGAATGCACTTCCAACCTAGGGAGCTTCTTGCATGGACCAACTGATGGCTCCCGCCCCCTCCCCAATCCCGCTCCAAGCAACTATGATTTCTCTTAAGGTAATTCGTGTTGTCTATTGGCTAAATGTCACCAGAGAGTTAAGACACAAATCTTAATTTTCACTCAAAATATGAAGTCATAAATGTGAATACCAAGATGGAAGTTGCAATGAGCATTCCACAGTTTACAGTTTACACCTTAGACTAAATGGCTTAACATATCCAATTGATAGCTGCAGCAGTAATCTGAGCCAATAAATTAGGAACCTTAGTGGAGCCTCTTTGATGGTATTATTTAACATCCAACCAGAGATATTTACAAAGAAATCCATGCCCAAGGCCATATACTGATCCACGTCCCAATGGAACAACTGACCATCTAGACTTGGCCGCACAAAAATTGAGCTCAAAGTTGCACAAAATACTGAGGCAGATGAGTTATTATATACTTGACTGAACCATATATAGTTTGCCCTATATTCTGTGTTAACAATATCTTCACTTGCATGTAAAAATTGCCTTTCAGAACATTCTATATAAATCAATATTACAACTGCAACAGCATGGTAATATGATGTGACTAAATATCAAAAAAAAATATGCTGCGATGATTTAATTTCAGGCAGCTGAATTTCTACTTCTTAATTCTATTTTGATGATCCATTGTATTTCATAAGGGTTCAATTCAATCCATCTCCAATGGTTTCTCCCAAATCACATCTGCCCTAACATCCTCTGGGTGGTCCAAGTGACCTAGACAAGCCCCACCCAAAAAGCCAAAGAAACCTTTAAAAGTTCGAAAAAATCTTGAAGATAAAATATGAAAAGAAAAATGAAATGAAAAGAGAAAGGTCTCAAAAAATAAATTGAAAATAAGAAAAAAATATTAAAAACCATGAAAACATAAAAAACTACATAGAATAATCGATGTGGGTGATGTTATTCTCAACCATAATTAATAAATTATTTTGTTTCTACCAAAAATTTCTACTTTACCTTTGATTAATCACCTAAAATACCCTGGGTCAAATGTTAGTACAATGTAGAGTAAGGTAGTCGAGTGTCCAAAAATATTGAGTAGGTCAAGGAAATACTTCATGAGCAGGAGTAGCCTAATAAAACCCCAAATTATAAACATATTATAATTGAGGGATGTTACAGGTTCGGTAGCCGGCTAAGCCCAAGTGATTCAAGAAAACCCGAGTCAGCTTGCTAAAGTTAGCACACACTAATATAAGTACCTAACACAACATACACATAAATATCATATTAGTAAATAGTTGTAAACATGCATGCAAGTACTTGTGTTTATCATGTGTGTACTGCGCATAGACTAGGAGTTACCACTAGGTAATATGCCCTAGCTTTTCTTCTTTGTGCATCACAACGCGTCCGAACACCAATGCATGTGTATGGCTGCTAATGGGCAAGGTTCAGAGTGGGGCATCCCAGGCCCGAGCCTAGCCTAAAGAGGCGAGGTCGACCTGAGCCTGGCCAGGGCCTGAAAATTTAATTTCGGGCATGGCCCAAAATGGGACTGAATTCATGATGAGGAGGCTCAATCCCCGCCTAGACCAAATAATCAGGGCAGGCCCTGTATAAACATGAGGAAAAAATATTTGATAATGTGATATATAGTTCAAAATTGTTTGGGCTGGCCTGGGCAGAGCCATGGGCCTTAACATGCGACAGTTACAAGGCCCAGAACTAGGCCTGGCCCAAAATCCCGCGGACTGGCATGGGCCAGTTAACAGCTCAATATATGTGGAGTCAAATTTAAACAATTTACCTAAATATATGTGTATTTTGGAAGTTTCCCAATGGAAATGACATCACCACACAAATACACTTTTCAGAGGCACAAATTGTTCTAAGACATTATCTGCCCCATGTCTGCCCATGGTACTCATCCACTTTCTTAGGAGAGTCACACATTTTGAAGCAAGTCTAATAAGTGCTTCTAACAATTCTTGTGAGGCACAAATTGTTTTAAGACATTATCTGCCCCATGTCTGCCCAAGGTACTCATCCACTTTCTTACGAGTCACGCATTTTGATGCAAGTCTAACAAGTGCTTCTAACAATTCTTGTGAGGGTCAAACAATTTATTAGAAGAGAAAAAAAGTGGAAACAAAACTTCTGTAAGGGTCAGACAATGTTTCACATTATAATTATGTGGAGCCATATTTCCCGGAATGTCTAATAATTTTTAGAAAGTATTCAGATATGGGGACTTATAGCCTCACTGAAGATATGTCATTTAATAGAGCAGAATGGAGAAGTAGGATTCATGTAGCCGACCCCAATTAATTGGAAAAAGGCTAAAATGATGATGATGATTCAGATTGCATTGACAGTGTATTAGCAATGTTTCAGCTTCCAAACAAATATCCCCAACACATAAAAGGTACAAAATGCAGTATCATTTTATGCAATACCTGGGCTCCAGGGAACAAGCAACAAATTCTCCTTGAAGGGAACAAGCAACAAATTCTCCTTGAAGATAATGCTCTTAAAGCAATGGTGTTGATGATTCCTAAGTAGGTCCTATTCAGATTTTCCTACCAATTGAGTTCAACTCATGATCGATCCTGCACCGAACAATAAACCCACCTTCTCATACCCATCCTGGAGAGTAATTAAGTAAATTACTTATTCTAATTGCGATGAAAGCATACATGCGTCTTTTATTTTTTCTACTTGATATCCATATGTTGGCGTTCATGCTTTTAGCCTTTGACAGGACACGACTCCCCTTTATCTCCTGATCTAATTTTGAATTTTCACAATTGTAAGATTCTACATAACTGGTAGCCTTCTTGTTCCTAAGGGATATGATTTCACGACGATTCTGAAGTAAATCTGACTCAAATTCTCCTATGCCCGAGTTCAAGAGTCCATGAACGCAAGGTAACTCATTGTGTCATAAACAAAATCAGATGAGTTTTACATGTGCACGATCCCATCCAGTTGTAATTCACCGGCTCAGTCTTGGCACTTACTCCAGAACAGAGATGACTCGCTAAGTCCTGAGTAAATTCCCAAATTATATATTGTTTTCTTTCTAACACTAAGAGGAAAGACTAGAATAAGTGTTAGATAGGACTAGAGATTTGGTCGAGTGTTACCCAAACTTAGCAAGACTTTTTAAGAGTAGTCCTTTTTCCCCTCGATGAATCCAAAACTTAGCAAGTCATTTTAAGACTAGTCATTTTTCCCCTTGGTTAATCTACAGATTTTAAGGCTCTGAAAGTGGCCAAGGTGAATTGGCTGAGTACCAACACGATAAGTATGGTCAAGAGCAATTTTTTTCTACCGCACTTTATCTCAAAACATGATACAAGAAAAGCCAAACATCAGCAAAGGAAAATTTCTCTCATCAAACCAGGCAATGGGAGCACAAAACTTCCAGTGATTAAATTGCAAGACAGTCATTCTTCTCACATCCACCAACATATTCCTCCCACGTCAATTTCCTCTCCTACTCAAGTGGTCCTTCTCAATAACCAGGGAGAACCTCTCCCAAAAACACTCATACTTCTAATCTCAATCAAACTAAGACCCCTGGAAACATCCAAAAGTTAAGACCAGCATTAACTTAAGAAATTGTCTAAATGAATATATATTCAGAAAAACAATGATCTTTAGCTAATTCATCAAGTTGATGAACAAAGCAAAGCAGCTAATTCATCAATTTGAGGAACAAAGCAAAGCAGCTAATTCATCAATTTGAACAAAGCCGAGCATCAAAATCTCAATGGAAAACTTTTTTATACCAAGTATTTGTCAACCACATGCATGATATTTGCATGTGTATAACGTGAACACAAAAGCTTAAAATGAAATTAGAAAGGGTTTCTAACAAGCAAAATGACAGTAGACAGAAGTATTACTTAATTTAATAAATTTATCTGTAACTAAGATTCAATATGAAGTTTGATCATCAACCACGCACTTCATTGCCAAATATGATTGAAGCATATAAACATGAATAGAGCAGGGAGATCACAAGAAATTTTAATAAGAATGAGGAAAGGATAGATCAAAAGAAATTTGCAATAGAAACTGAAGAAGGACCAAATCTCCTATTAACAATAGGTACTGTACAGATGTTAACAAACCTTTATTCACATTTTGACCTCCAGGACCTCCACTTCTAGCAAAATTAATAGTTACATGATCTGTAAATCAAGGTAAATCCATTTCAGAATCGCATAATACAATTAAAATCATGCTCAGAATGCATGCTTCACGGTGGAAAGAAGTTTTTTGTTTTCTATCAAAGCATAACCTCAAAGTGACAGGAGAGGAAATTGAAGGCGTGGTTGCATTTAAAATGTGATAGCCACCTCAGTACTAAAACAACATAACATTCAAGGGCAAAGTAATTAATCCTTATTCTCCTTCTTTCTTTGGCACTAAAAAATTCATATAAAAAGAAAGAACTTGCTCCATTCCCTAAACTTTGAGGGAGAGTAAACAACATCAACAAATTTTTCTATAACTGATACCAACAAATTCAACTACAAAAAGGTTTAGAAGTCCATCACACTCATGATTGAAATTTGTAAGAAAAAATACTGTTAGCATATTCTAGAGGTACCTAAAGATTTTCTACATCATGCTTGAGACCTCAAGTATCCATAATAACAATGTCGAAAACATTTTATTGAACGTATATGTCTTGTATTACATCATGCTCAAAGAATAACCAAGAAAAAGCATCACTTCACATTGCATATTTGATTTGAATTAGTGATTTTAAGTTATATTTAAACGACTTGCAAATTTTTATAGGGGTTCATAGTTGATTAGGATTAGTTGTTCTATGTAAAGTTTGTAGTATTAAAGATGTCATCATGTGGTATTATTTCATTTATAGTATCTTCTTCTGTAGTGAAATGATTACTTTCTGACATAGTTAAGGGAACCTTGTGGGTAGGTGCCGATCCCACTCCGGAACCTCGATCCCATGGTTCCTGCAAGGGATCTTGTAGGGAACCCTTTTTTTTATTTTGGGATCTCACTCTCAAAAAAAGGGGACCAAGTTCCATCTATTAGTGGAATCCAGTTCCATTTCGAATTAGATCCCCGCTCCCATCAACCACGGTCCAAGGTTTTGGTACATTAAAATCTTCAGTTCTATGTTTGTGAGTTCTACTTTCATTAACAGATGATACAAAGTTAGAGATTGCCATTGTCTGAATCCTATTATTTAGGAATCATAAGTTCCATGATGTTAAAAATCAGTTCCTTTTTTGCATAACACCAAGTTCCATTGTTTTAGATTCTTAATTTGATCTAGGCATAGTCCAAAGTGACCCACTGTCTTATCAAGTCCTATTGTGTAAGCCATCCCGCTTAGTTGTGAGAATATATATTTCATTCAAAACCTTATATTTATGATGTCCTATTGTTTTAGAGTCTTAAAACTGATTACAGTTGTGCGATGAGAACATATGCTTTCATTTCAAGCTTTAAAAAGTTTCTTTTACATCAGTCAAAGAGAGTAGTTCATCTTGTCCTCTTGCCCCTTCGGAGAGCCAGCCTTTGAGAAAAAATGCAAGCAGAGGAGACTACATTCGAAGAAGATAACTCTTGAGTGATAGGATTCTGGGTTGCCGAGGACTCAAAGGGAATGGTGCATGCCAAACTTGTGTCATGGCCTGAAGATCTAGTGGTCATAAGAAGACCGACTTATAGAGCTACATTATTAATCCGTTGTTATTCAAGCAAAAATAAATAAATCCATTGTTAAGGGCGAGGGGTACTTGATAAGGGATCCCTGGTAAATGGCACTTGCGGACCTTGGGGCCAATCCCCAAAGGACCTTGATTCCTATACTTTAAAAATCTCAATATTAGAACAGGAGCAACCCTGTTATATGACATACATAAACCTCGATTCCTTATCCAAGGGAGCTCGTACTAGCTCTACTTACAACATCATTTTTCTGTATGGTGGAGCTTAGATTCCTGCTAGTCAAAACATTGAATCCATTGACATCGGATTTCGCTCCCATACACCTAAGGATCTCGCTCCTTGTCTGGTTCATTGTAAGGACGCCGATCCTAACCTCAAGGAGTTTCCACTATAGGGTGGTTTGGCGAATCCCAAACCAATCTCGCTCCCGATCTCGCTCCCGCCTCTAACAACTATGGTTTCTGATCTTAAGTCAAACTTCATTCTAGTTAAAGAGAATTATATTTGCACTAACTCTATGCCAACAATACGTGCAACATAGATGTGCAATGCAAACATGTAGTAGTGTTGTAAATAATACATGTCACACAGATGTGCAATACACACATAAAACAAATGTGCATAGAAAGGCAGAGGAAACAAAGAAGTAAATAGAGAGGACGCAAGTTCAAGGGAAGAGTTGAGAGATAGAACAAGAATAAATGCACTGGAGTATGAAAACCTTTAAAAATGAGCCTCAAAACCAATAATAGTTTCATACTCAGAACCAGTATCGTGTTCATATAACTCTTGTTTATTATAAACAGAGCAAGAAAAAAGTAAGGAAGAATACATAGGTACAATTTGACTCAATCCAAATAAAACTATCAAACTTAAATGTAAGAACTCCCTCCTGCACTCTAACATCAAATATTCGGACAGTTCAAACTAAATTAACAATTCTCATACCAGAACATTCAAATCAAAACCAAGAGTTTACAAGCAAATTTAATCCTCCGATGAAAAACACGATCTTGACAAACAGAAAAAAAAAAAAACCAAAAGCTAAATTCAAGACCAGCAAAACAACAATCTCATGACCATCCAAAATTTTCGAACAAATGGCAATGCAGCCAAAGCAATTGATACAAGAAAAAATGATTTGGGGTTTCAGTACCTAGGGTTATTCTAGGGATTGGCTCCTCAGAAGTGACTGCCCTTTCCTCTGCCTCCTGTAAAAGCTGCCGCATCTGTGAAAGTCTTGCTGGAACCTTCTCTCCCTTTCCAGAATCTGATGCATAACAAACTACACGACCACCATGAACGCTTCTATATTTGACCAATCCCAGAGCCATGGAAGGCCTGAAAACTGCACTGAAATGGCCATTTCTGGTAATAATAAAGGAAGGTCGTGGGTTTATTATGAAGTGGTTCAATTCTCTCACCATTAGAGAGCTTGCCATTTTACACAGGCCCATTTCCAATAGTAGAAAAACGCAGAATTTAACCAGAGGAAATGAGGGTTTCTTGAGAATTAAATTATTAGGGTTTAATAGTGGTTTTTCCGCAACCACCCTTCTCTATTGAAGCAGAGCCTCTGGTTTGGGATTTTATCCTCACTCGAGAACGCCCGGCTAGTACACGGTTTGCAAAACGCGAAAATTACAAATAACCCTAAGCTTCCCCATGAAACTTACCAAATCGAACTTTTTTTCTCACTTTTACCCTAACATACAATATCTTAGTAAATAACCCTCAACCAAAAATAAAAAATAAAAAATAAAAAAAAAGACTAAACTACCTTTCTTTAACTTTTACGCACGACTCCACAAAAGTGTGATCCGGCGATATACATGGCGGTCCGGCACTTTTTTTTCGAGATAAACATGCAATCTGGCAAATGTTCATTACAGTCCACCACTTTTTTCCTGGACAAAATGTGGTCCAGCAGATCCCTATGGCAAGTATGTCTATATGGCAGTTCGACACTTTTATATATGCGGTCAGATAGATCTATATATGCAGCTCGACAGATCTATATGGCGGTCCGACACTTTTATATATATGGTCCGGCAGATCTATATATACGGTTCGACAGATCCATATGCAATACAGTAGATAATAAAAGCAGTTCGGTACTTTTTTTGGTTTAACAGGGTCCGGCAATTAGTACATGGCGGTTTGGAAGCCCATGTAGCTTTTGTTAGTGTGAATGTCCTGCCAAAATTTATTTTTTTTAGTACAAAAATAGGTATTTTATCAAAAGTATATTTTGTTTTATTTAGACGAGTATTTGTTAAAAAGGTATTTTTTAGGGTAAAATGTGAGGAAAAATATTTTGTTAGGGGTAAATCGTTATTTTTGGGAGATTTTTATAATTTTCCTTGAAAAAACAATGACCCTGTTTTCGGTCATTCATAAAATTGGTTTGGATCATAAGATTAGCGATTTGGATTGGAGAATGAGCTGGATCGGCCAAATCCAACTTTCAAAATTAAAAAAAAACACAAAGACATTAAAAAAAATTAAAAATCATTATAAATAAAAATATTTGGATTTTCCAATAAAAAATGGAGGTAATTCGGTATGGATTTTCATTATCTTAAAAAAATAAATGAATATTGATGTTATTTTCTGTTGGAATGTTTGTTAATTACATTCTATTTGTGTTCTGCCTATTATTTCATGAGGTTTTTCTCTATTTGTGTTTCTGCCTATTATTTCATGAGGTTTTTCTCTTTCACTCTCTAGAGATGATGAGGAAGGAAACGTTGGTTTTGAAGTGCTTCTAAGCTATTCTGATCTCAGTTTCCATGTATTTGATGTGTTTGTGATGTGGTGAGATAAAAATTGATATTTTGAGAGGTATATGCTAAACATTGAATAATGGCTTGGTCTCAAAAAATCTAACTTATAATGTTATGGTTTTAAAGAAAAAACATAAAAAATTAGGTGATTGTACCTTTTATTTTTTATTTAATTAAAATATTGGTTTCACTATCTAAACTCCCAAACTTTGGCAAAACTTATACTCGACTCTGTCTCTCAACTGTTGGTAGAGAGAGAGTTATGTATAGATACTCATAATATAATTACCACATTAAAAATCAATTAATATAAACTTTTGAGAGAGAGAGAGAGAGAGAGTTATATTGGTAATTGGTGTCAAAAAGTTCAATGTTGATACGTTTTGTCGGATTATTATATAAGGAGATATTGTTATTTTTTATTATTTTTTTGAGTATTTATAAAACATTCTCCCTTTATTGTTGATTGTGCATGCATTGAGGGAAAATTGTAAAAACCCTCTCAAAATGGACTTTTTAGGCACTTTATTTCCTATCCAACTTTTTCTAGCAATTCTTTAAAAAAAATTAAATTTCCTAGCAAATATCCCCTATACAAAAAGTTATTTATTTTTTTTATTTTTTTTGATGAAAATACTTTTAACAAATCAATTTTGGATTCCAATAAAAAGAAACACCAGAACACACTTGTACAATGCCCTATTGCTCACTTCAAAATACGCACCGCTAGTTTAAAACACCGGACTACCCCTGCAAAATGCCGGACCATCATATCAAAATGCCGGACTGCCTCTTTAAAATGTCAGAACGCCACTTCAAAACGCCGGACCGCCCATTCCAGCAAAAAATAATCGTTGCTGGACCGCAACTTCAAAACGCCGGATCGCCCATTCCAGCAAAAAAATAATCGTTGTACCGCCACTATGAAACGCCGGGTTGGTCATTCTAGCCAAAATAATCTTCGAACCACCGGTTCAAAATGCTCAACCGCCCTCTCGAACGAAAATAATTTGTTATATGAGGGAAAAGTATTTTCGTCCAAACATAAATAAACTTTTGTATAGGGGGTATTTGCTAGGAAAAGTTAGGTAAAGTAAAATGCGAAAAAGCCATGGGGTTTTTTTATTTTTCTTATATTTTATTTGTAACTTCATGTCTAATTTAGTTCTACTTAGAGTGAAGAAGGTTTCTTTCAAAGTCCCCCACGTGGAAAGCTTATTTTTAATCCCACATAAGGACTTATAGAGTAATATAGGAGGTGGCGTGGTCATAAAAATGTTAATGGGATGTGAAGATGAGTGTGTTGCGCGGGCCTCCCATAGTGTGAGACCACTATAATAAACTATAATAAATAAAAGGAAAATATTTTGTACATCTTGTTTTTAAGTTTCATTTTTCCTTCTTTATCTATTTTTACCTCATATTTTCAATTTAAACAAATATAACAAAGACATCTTTTTTAAACTCACTTTCTCTTTCTCTCTTTACTTGTTTTCCCCAATTCTCTCTCTCTTCAATTGTTTCCCCCAATTCTCTCTCTTATTTTCCCCAATTCTCTCTCTTCACATGTTTCCCCAATCTCTCTCTTCTCTCCCCCATGTTTCTCCAAATCCTTCCCTCTCACAAGAGTGGGAAAAATTTTATTTGCTTTTTCTGCACTAAGAAATAGAATTTCTCCTTGAAACAAAGAAATACCCAGTATCCACATTTGTTATATAGTGTCCCTGATCTGATTACCTGTAGAACACGTTATAAAAATGAAAATATCATCGACAAACAATGCCCTAAACCACGCTCCACAATATATTTTTTGGGTTTATTTGGAGATTCACATGAAGAGAGAGAGGGGATTTGGAGATCCACAAGGGAAGAGAGAGAAACATGCGAAGAGAGAGGGAAAAGGTTTTAAAAAGTTATTTTTTAAAAAAAATTTATTTGAACTAAAAAAATAGGGTAAAACTAGGTAAAGGTGTCCAAGGGGTTAGAAGATAAAACATATAGAATCCCTATGCTGTTGGATAGATTTTGGAATCTTGGGTTTATAGAGAAATAAAATTTAAAAATAGAGTATGTAGAGATATTTTCCCACGAATAAAGGGTTTTCTCGTACCTTCGAAAGGTGGTCCACACCTCTTCGTATTTAAACATTCAAACATAAAGTTACGCAAAACATTTTAAAAAGAGGCATTGGTAAGCTTCCTGGTTCGATTGGTGTGAGTCCCGAGTTCTCTAATACAACAAGCTAGAACTGGGCGGTTTGTAGAGGGAACTAGTCGGTTGTCGACATTTGGCAAAACTTTAGGTTAAACCATTAAAAGAAATGCACATGTGTATATGTCTGTGTCATGGATCCATGACATAAATAAGAGGGTAAGAAATATAAACCTCAAAGAAATGCACGTGTATATGTCTGTGTCATGGATCCATGACATAAATAAGAGGGTAAGAAATATAAACCTCAAGAAAATGATGCCTACATATGACGTGTGACACAAATACGAGGAACTTACATATGACATGTTAGACAGATACGAGTGTAAGAAATGTAAGCTTCAAAAAAATGACACCTATATATGACATAGAAACTTCAAAGAAATGACACCTACATATAACATATATATACAATATATCAATATTTAAATAAATGCATGGCTATACATGCATATATTGAAATTTATGTGTGGTTCACATCTAAATTTATATACTGTATAATTCATAAGTCATGTCAATAGTAAAGCATCACGGAAAAATTAAATTAAATTAATAGTCCAAAGAATGCAACTTCCTTAATCAAAATTTTAGTTTATCAAAAATTGCATATAATAAAAAAAGCTAAAAACTATTTCCTTATTATTAATTCAAATTGTAGCATTCTTATTGCATGGCTGTTGAATAGAGTCCTAATATATTGATCCAAAATTATATGATCGCTCTACTTGTACCTTCAATAAAAAAATAAAAAAAATTATTTATTATTCCATGAAGAATGGTGTTTCTAAACAAAACAAAAAAAATCATATTCCAAAAAGAAAATGTGTCCAAAAAGTGAGACACTATTAAACACTCTATAGAAGTATCATGTGTGTTTCGCGAAGGGTCGAATTGTATGTATCACCAAGTGTTGACACGTGGTCTGCCCCTCGAATGTGTGTGTGCATGTTTCATAGGTTAAAGGAAGTCAGACGAATTTTAAAAGTGGCCTCTATTATTTGTTAACTTATGAAACTGCCCTTCCATGACTTAAGATGCTAAGAGTGCGACGATTAGTGTTGACTGGTGTTTCAGGACTCCAATAGGCGAGGTGGATTGCCTACCTACATATCTATGTTGGATCGCTGAATGGACGATCTAGATTGGCCATAATTGATACGAGTCGACAATCTATAAACTATTGAAAAATAAAATTAAAATAAAGATTTATGGGGTGAAGATTTAAAGGGGACTTAATAAACATTAGATGCACATTAGATGCACTTAGAAAGAAAAAAAATTGGCGATCTAGATAAAATATCGCCAAGTTTCAAAACACAACTAGAGATGAATTCCAGCAGCAATGTTTAACATGTACTAGAAGTGTCAAATACTTCATTTGGGTGCGGTTTGTATAGAGCCTAGGCTCTAAACAATCAAATTAGAGCCTACCTTCAAATAGCGTCAAGAAATGTGGTTTCAATATTGGAAATCTTTGTGATAGCCTTAAAATATACTTTCATATTTATTTATAAAGTTTAAAGCTTCAAAATAGTGTAGATTGATATATCCATGAGAACTTGAAAATCTTGAAAATTGACGGTCCAAATATGCGTTACATAATACACTATTTTCAAAACTTTCAATC